TAAATATCGGGAAACCTTTGTCAGAAATTTCCTGAAAATGTCTAAATTTCTCTAGAAAATTTCCCTAAGTCACAACCCTTGTTATAACACACTTTAAAAAATAATATAAATTCATAAATTTCAATAAATAGACTATGAAAACATATTATGTATATAAACAAAAATTAATAGAATGAAATTTATTTATTATATAAAACATTTTAAATACCTACATTTAACATTTATCTAAATAAAAATAGAAATTTGTCTATTGATTTTTTTAAAAGTTCAATTCTTTTAATTTTTTTTGTTTTGATTTGAATAAATGTGTTACTGTTGATATTTGTGGGAAAAGTGGTTACAGGTATAATCCTAGATGAGAGATTTGCCCGTGAAGATAGTTTTCTAAGGTCATCATATGATAAAAGGTTATGAGGTTGTAATTGAGGATTGGAAGGTTTATTAAAAATAGGCAAGTATTTATCGAGGAGCGTTGAGAACGGGTATTATGACTAAATATTGCATTGCTAAACTTCATTGATAAGCAATTAATCATAATCAATCAAAATTTGATTATATATAATTTTTTTTTAAATAATTTTCATAAACATTTTTTTTAATGTATATAAATCAATTATTCAGTAAAAAATTGAGATTAAATATCAAATAATTTATAATTCTATTTTTACGTAATATTATTGGTAAAAAAAATATTTACTAGCTTATTACAACTTAAATTTTATTTTTCAATTGCAAAATTTAACAAATATAAATCCATAAGAGGGCGTTAAATGCATAAATATAAAAATATACTCTTAGGAAACCAGAATAATTATTGGATAGCGTTTTTTATATATTTGGGTGTAAATACATGTGAAAAACCTAAAAATTTTTTAAAAATTATAGGTTTCTTTGACATTTAATTAATGAGTAGGTTTAGAATCGAAAAATAGTAGAAAATTTGTAAAGAACATATTGCTAGCGTTATTGATCAAAATCTCTTCATTTTAGGTTTATACGTGTATATTTAGGTTAAACATTATCCTAAAAAATATTTTGAATATATTATGATTTGACCGAATGCCGAGCTCAAACCCGACCACTTACTAAATATTCGATCGACCAAATTTGGTATTAATATTATTTGGAAAATGATCATTTTTGGTTTATTTATCTATAAATACGTGTAAATCATTATCCGAGAAAATATTTTAAAAAATCGTGATTTGACAGATAACCGATTTGAAACTAGGCCAATGACTAAATACTGCATTGCTGGCGTTATCCATGGAAAATTCTTCATTTTTGGTTTATACGTGAAAACGTGTTAAGCATTATCCTAAATAATTTTTTGAAAATATTAAGATTTGACCGAATGGCGAGCTCAAAACCGACCACTTACTAAATATTCGATCGACCAAATTTGGTATTAATATTATTTGGAAAATGATCATTTTTGGTTTATTTATCTATAAATACGTGTAAAACATTATCCCAAAATATATTTTTAAAATATCATGATTTGACCGATAACCGATTTTAAACCGAAATACTGCATTGCTGGCGTTATCCATGGAAAATTCTTTATTTTTGGTTTATACCTGAACAATAACGACATTTTTGATGACCTGGTAGATCATATGCTAGACCAGGAAGCAGCATTCAGCCACTACCAAATATTAATAACATTAATAGTGGAACGCTATATAAACATTAGATTATATCATTTTGCAGATATACAAAACAAAAAAATCAAAAACATTCGACAGAAGCTGACAAAAGCAATTTTATTTGCTGGAGAATAACTTATGATCATTTTTAATTTATATTTGATTTTTAAAATGATATTAAATTTATATTAAATTTATATCGTAAATGTATATATAAATGTGGATACTATATTTTAATGATTTTTGTAATTTATAATAAACTATTTTTTGTACAAAAAAAACAAATTGAATAAAAAAAAATTTAATTATTATTTAGCTTTATAGATATAAAATAGAAATATTTTTCCCTGTTTTTATCAACATTTATTTTCATTAAAGATTCTATAGTATATTGAAAGGAAAATTATTGTTTTTCATCATTTAATTAATAGGTCCCTAACTTTTTATGAAATTCTTAAAATAAGGAGGTAAGATTAAACTAAATTGATCTGAAGTGTTAAGGTCCTTTTTTTTAATAAATGAAGTCTTATAATGTTTTATTTTTATTAATCAATAATTTTTGTGTTTGAAAAAATGTAAAAGTGATAATTTTTTTGAATGATAAAATAAGCTGGATAATATAATGTAAATAATAACCTTATAAGGTTCCAAATATTAAAGGGTTAATAAAGTCTCAAATAAACATAAATTCAAGCAATGCTTTGTATATATCTAGCTTATTAGATATTTTAAGAATTGAATAGAAATTTAAAACAATTATATTATTTCTTAAGAAAAACAAATAAGATAAGTAAGGGATTTTTATATATAATCAAAATACATAAGATTTACTAGTAGCATGATAAAAATATATATTTTAATGAATATTATTATAACTATCTAAATCTCATAATATTTTAAATTATTTGAATATGGTTCTTTAAATACATATTTCATTGGAAGAATAGCCTTGAAATAATTGTGAGATAGGATATTTGAAGGTACCATTAATGCTTATAGATGTAGAAATAAAGGATGTTTAGTCGGATAACATAGGAAAAATTGGATATTGTGGTGATGAAAATGTGAAACAAACAACTGTATTAACATTATTATTTTTAAAAATGTTGTTAAATTTTAATAATGATTCTAGAGAATTATTATATAGGTAATGGTAACTTGCTTCCTTATTATCTAGATGATAAGGCAATTCTTTAATAAAGTTTCGTTTAAAATTTTAATGGTATAGGCAACCAATATGGCGTCTCCAGCTGATTTGCATTGAGGTACCCTTTAAAGAATGAATCGTCAGTCTAGGTATTATTATATGTCATTAAACACATTTCACTTATGCCCTAAGACTTTCCTTTGGCTTTTATTTAATTTCCTAAAAAACATTTTTGGTTTCACTTTTTAAATATATAATTTGCTTTTTTCCAAAAAAGTATGAATTATAATCAATAGTTTAAGGTATATTCATACATTTTTGGGGGACAGAGGGTAAGGAGAGGACTGAGGATGATTTTTTATTGACTTAAAATGATAGTCACAAAAAGTGATAAATATCCGAAGAGGTGGGGGGGGGGGGAATTCTCCTTGCCCCTCCCCTTGGCTACGCCTTTTCTAGGCAAAGCTTCCAACATTCTTGGTCATCTTTTATATCATTATTTTTAAAGAGTTAAATCTTAAAAGAGAGAAACTACAAGATCATAGAGTTAGAAAAATAATATAAATATCAGAGACCTGCAGGCCCGGCCCTAAGCCCGGCCCGGCAAAACCTAAAAATTTTTTTTTAAATATATCCGGGCCGGGCCTAAGATTGTTAAACCCGGGCCAGGCCGGGCCTTAATATTTTTTATAAAAATTTTTACATTATGAGTTAATGGTTATAAGATTATATTATATTATATTTATGATTAATATAATATTGGGCGATGGTTTACACTACCTAACACCCATAGATCGATCTAATTATTAATTTCCTGCAAATTTAATTAAAGTATTAATATATTTTTTTATAATTCATATCTAAATTTTTACAACATATTTTACCAAAACAATCAAATAAAGGAATATCTTAAATAAGCCCCAATATTCAAGTATTATTAATATATTTTTTTATAATTCATATCTAAATTTTTAGAATATATTTTACCAAAACAATCAAATAAAGGAATATCACTTCTTGAAGTTTGTAATACCTTTCAAAGCGAAAAAGGAGAAATAAAATTGATTTTACTTAATATAAAGCATTTTTTAATTTAAAAATTTGTTTTACACAAGTATCATTTTATTTCTCCTTTTCTCTGTCTCAAATTCAAGCAATTACGTATGTAGTCAGGGACAGATCGCAAGATGACGGAAAACTATATAAAAGATTATATTAAATTACCAGAGGCTCAGGAAGTAAATGAAATACCATCGACCAGTCAAATTACGACTGTTGTTAAACAAACTGAATCGTTTTATGACAAATGGGGCAATGGTAATTCTGGTAATATGTCAATACTCGATGATGAATATTATAATTACATAAATAAAAAAATAGATGAAACATTTAAGGTGGATATATTTATTGCATTTATTATATTTACCTTGAGTCATTAAAGTTTTTAATCCAACATTTTTCATTATTTTTTTTTACAATATTATATAATACAATTATCTTCTTTTGTTAAAAGTTTATATTATAAAATAAATTATATTAATATTGTGCAATTAGATTATATTTTCAAAATACTATTTATTACACATGCATTTTTTTAAATAGCGATTATTTTTATTTTATAAATTAAATAGTAAATTAAATACAATATATTATATTCTCAAAATATTTTACATTTTTACAAATTAAATATAAGTTTTATTTTTTTTAAATGCAATATAAAATATAGTATATGCTCAAAATATTATTACCATTTTAATGAATATAAGTTTTATTTTTATAAATGCAATATAAAATATAGTATATTCTTAAAATATCCATTTTTATAAATAACAGTTTTATAATTTTTATAAATTCAATATAATATTCTCAAAATATTAGCTTTTTACATGGATTTTTTAAATAATAAGCGATAATACTCGCTGAAAAATATTGTAAAATACCTCATAGGTGAATTTTTGTATATACCAGGTCGAATATAATTTTAAAAAATTCCGAGCCAGGCCTGAAATTTTTTTTTTACAAAATATCCGGGCCGGGCCGTAAAAAATTTTTTAAAAAATATCCGGGCCGGGCCGGGCCTAAAAAATCTAAAACCGGGCCGGGCCGTGCAAATGGTACCTCTGCAGGTCTCTGATAAATATTATTTAAAGCTATTACATGTCTTGTAAATTAGATGTCAAATGTGACAGGATATGTTGTTTAGTTTTTTTAATTTTAGCAGTGTATTTTTTTTAAAAGCTCTAAAAAAAATGGTCTCAATGTGGGCCAAACACAAATTTAGGCAGCAACAAAGTTATTTATGCAATAGTAATAGGGATTGTGGTTATATACCTATAGACGATGAAAGCATACATAGAATTGGATTAAGAGGACGAAAAAAATGTTTATTTTATGGACTATTAGGGTTATTATCTTTATTAACACTATTAAATATTTTGGTGAGTTTATTTAAGAAATACAATAAACTATATACTTTTTTATAGTTGAACCTTTTATTATTTTTTGCATACAAGCTTTATAATCCTCATCATGCTTTTGTAGATTTCTGGTCTCATAAAGATAAAATATCATTTAATAGGGAAGTTTTAATTACAAATGCATTACCATCAAATAATGAGTTATTAAATATACCTGGACAGGAATTAATTGTAACTGCTAATAGAAATAATGAAGTAAAAGTATTTAATAATATAATAATATGACAATCTTTAAAGGTTTTTATAAATTCTCAATTCAGCAATAGATCAAAACGTAGTCTAAATACTAAAAACACAAAATGTAATACATTTTTACCTGTATATTTATAAATTAACACAATAATTACTTTTTTAAATAGCTTTTAAGTTTTATAAAATAAAAAATCATTCCTATTTATATTGTTCATAAAATTTTACTGTTATATTTCCCATATTTAAATAGCTTGTAATCAATGTAGCTAGGTTAAAATGATAAAATTCTTATATGGTACAATAACTTAGTAAATTTAGAATTGAAAATTTTTCATACATAACGGTATTATTAAAATTATCTGTTTTAGTCAATTTTAAATTATATTACACAAGCCTCAAGATTTTCTTAATAGATGTGCAAACCTTTTTGCACCTATCTCCAGGCTTGCATTATATTTTTTGGCTAACATAGTGGGTTATTTTAAAAATCAACCAATTTACAACACTAAAAAATATAAATCAGGGTTGGTAAGAAACTTAAGTACAAATATGAACCACCCAACTTTGCAAATATCTATAAAGTATATATACATACCTATTTTGCATGAAATTTGTTTTATTTTTATAATAAACTTTTAAAATTAAGTAAGATTTGATGCAAATCAAACTATCTTTGAGGATACCGAGCAATTCGCATTTATATTACCCTCAACCCATTTAAATGAATCCATTATGGCAGATAATGTCTACTTTTCAGGTTTTGTTAATGACAAAAGTCTACCCTTTCTTCCAGATTCAATCATTTTGAATAGAGTTTGGACACCAAAAGTTATTAAAATTTTTTAAATATGTGAAAATAAATTCCAAATAATTTTTTAGCTATATTTTATTTATGTCCTATAAACTAGTTTTTCATAATCTCTTAAATTAATATATCTCAAAAGAAAAGTAGCTTCAATACCACTATACTAAGATTTAAGCATTTTTAAATGACGTAAGTTTATACAAGTTTCAATGGGCAACTATGATTTACACTATATGCATAATACAAAATATATATAATTACCATCATACCCGCATAATATTCATTCATATTATTATATTTATTTATAAAGATATTTAACAATTGTAACATAATAACATTTCTCCGATCTTACTCAGGAGCAGGATGAATGTTGGTCAAAAGTTTTGATTTCCTTAACTGCTTATCTGTGCCTACATTGCCTGAGTTTTGATATGTATTGCTTATAATGTCATCTATACACTCTTTCTCTTACCTGAACATCATATTTTGTTGCCATTTATCCACCCTCCTCCATCTTTCCTAATCCAAACCTGTTGGCCTTCTTTGAATTCACATACCACAGTTTTTCTATCATGGTAATATCATTGTCTCTATTCTTTTGATTGACCTCTCTTTCATCTACACGCCTTTAATCAAAAACTGTATGCAATTTTCTACCAAAAATCATCTTTGCTGAAGCCTTCATTATCGTTCCCAAGTTCTTATTCGCATTTTATTTTGGCATAATATCTTGAGTTGATTGTTCTAATCAGGGTTGGCAAATTTGGTCAATTGACAGAAGGAATATTTGACCTGGTAAATACAGTCAAATACTCTAAAATGTTATTGATGAATAACTATATTGATTTAATTAACTAATATGTACTTAAATCATGTTTATCAATCTAATAAGATTACAATTTATTTAAAAAATATTTGTATCTTCAAGGCATCATTATAATTTTATATAAAAATATAAAATTTTCATAATAAAAAATTAGAATTTCATTTTGAAATATAAAAAAAGAATTTTGTTCATTATTAATTTGATTGGATCTCAATATATAAATGAATATAATAATTTGGCTAAAGCATGGTTTGAGAAAATTACTAATTACCAATTTATATTACATTATGTACAATTATCCGAACAAGATGGGCATCTTCAATAAAATGTAAGGAGAAAATACAAATATGCAAGAATCTACCAATAATTTATTAAATGATATTTTGGAAATTTAAAATTTTAAACTATTCTTAAACATTTAGCTATCTTATTGTTGCAAGTGCAAAGGGATAAATGCACTTTGGCCTACGTAAATAATGAGATGTTTAATTTGGAAAACACATAATACAATCATGCCATGATTTTACAATTTCTCCACCTGATGAAAAAAAATTAAAGGTACGTTTGAAAAAGAAAACAATCCGAGTACACGTGCTCACACTGAACTGCTGATTATTTATTGGATTCCCGATATAAGGGGATCATCATATTAGTAGTGAGTTGGGTTAAGCATGTGATATAATATAAGAATTTGCTCAATTATAGGGATGTCCAATATTTTTTATCGGATCAGGTCGATATTTCACCCATTTTAAAATATCGGTTATCGGTCTTAAATTTTCCGATCCGATCCGATAAAAAATGGCGCTTTAAACAAAAATAAAATGTTAAAAAATCATTTATTTTATAAATAAAATCGAAATCCATTTTTATGTTTATTTTTTTAATATTAATAATATAATTAATAAACATTCTGCCATATTGTTATTTTTTTTGCGCATCTGTTTATAAAAGTGTGCGATAATCTCTTCAGAATCTGTTTTTAGTGAAGCTGGGGATATTGACAGTTAACATCGACGCAGGCTGACCTCTGATAAATTGGAAATTTTGGTATTTCTAAAAAGAAATTTCGATATATTAAAGTTAAATATTTATTTCAAATTTCATAATATATTTGTTTATTACTTATTATGTATATAGATTAATGTTATTACTTAATATATAAAAGTAATTTATCAATAAAAATATTTTATATACTTTTAGAATTGCAATTAAATTGAATATAAACTATAACTGATCATTATAATATATTTAAATGGCATAAGTTATGGTATAGTTAGATCATAGATGTTATACTAATAATAAGTATATTAGAAATTAGAACCATTGGTATCTTTACAGAATACAAAATTAGATATGATATCGGATCGGAAATCGGCCGATATCAATTTAATATCGGATTGGCCTCCAAAAAGTGGTATCGGTACACCCCTAATCATTGTATAACTTCAATATAAGGGGCCAGAAATGGGGAAAATAATCATTATAACGAATTTGGAGTGAGGTCTTCTATCAGGTTTGTGTCCATACCCGATGCGAGACCTCTGGCTGAAATAGTAGGTAGTAGAGCTGGACCACCTCCGTAACGGTAGAAGGGACAACAGAGGCGCCCACTTCAGCAGAATTGTTCGAATTGGGGTCAGGTAACCACTAATAGATATCTCTGGGCCGATTGATACGAAGGAACCAGCGGAGGTAGCTGCAACAGATTCTATGGAATTAGAGACGCCTATAAAATTAGAACGGGAACCGTCAAAAGCAACAAGTAAACAATTGGAAACTAGAGAAACTGTATTTGGGGAAGAAGAGTTGTTGGTTGGAGTTTCTTATCAGGGATGAGGAATTGGCGGAAATATTAGGTGGAAGAAAAATGACAAGGGACATGGATTTCAATAATGGGTGGTGTGTCAGAATAGTATGAAAATATGTAAATTATGTGTCATTATTTTGATAAGAAAAAGGGGAAAAAACATGTTAATTGATTGTTATTATATTATATTATATATAAAGAAAGGATTATTAATGTTATTTATCATTATTTGCAAATTTTTTTTTCAGTATAAATCATAATAAAGTTGGCCATTGAAACTTGTATATTTATCAGAGAACTGCAAGCCCGATATTTTGATTTTTTAAAATTTACCCGGGATATTTTAAACCCTATTATTTTAAATCACCATTATTAGCTATAAAAATTAAAAATAAATAAAATATAATTTTAAAAAATTTAATCCTGGCTGAAAATTTTTTTTTCAAAAAATTCGGACCTAAGTCGGGTTTGAAAATATAAAACCCTGGTTGGGCCGAAAAAAATTAGTAAAAAAAATTCTGGCCGACCGTGCAAATGGTACCTCTGTGGTCTCTGATATTTATACAATCATACTTACATTCACTCATAATTGTTTATACAAGATATAATACATTACAAGTTTTAAATCGTTAAAATTTGAGAAATCTCCATTTTTAGCAATATATATCTAAAATTCAATTGAGACATTGATAATTATTTTCCCCAGTATCTATCAATATTATTTCAGATTTTTATGAGAATGTATAAGAAATATTTCCAATTTTTTTTATCGATTTAAACTGCGTAAAATCTTACTAAGCTCTCCTCGATTACCATTAACATATATGGATCACTAAATATCAATAGCTATTTTACTTATTTTTACATTGTATTTAGTAACTAAGTTTAATAAGGAAATTTAAAATTTAAGGTATCTAATTATGTTAACGATTTTGCTTATGATGAAAATGCATTCAAAATGAGAATCGTTTCGGATGGCCAATTCATAAAATTGAGAGGTAACCAAGGGATTACTTTTACAACTACTGATCTAAATCTCAATGCTACACAAGATATAAATATTATGTCGAAAGTAAAATTGAAATGTTTATTAAATTTATATTTTTCCTTTCAATCTTAAGAATTAAAAAGTCAAATTTATCATTCTTTATAGGGTTGGAAATTTTGAATTTAAAAATGGTTTTTGAAGTTAATCATAATTTAAATAATTTTATTTATGGATTTTTTAAAATAATTATATCGTCCAATACAATAAAAATTTCTACTAACTGGATGAAATTTTTTGTTTTTTAATATTTAAAAAATTAAAATTTTTGTTTATATTTTAGTTTTTGTTTGTTCAATATTTTTTTTGCTTTTTAGTTCTAAATTATTATTTTTTAAATTATATTTCATATTTTTGCTAGGAAGGATCCATATTATTTACCAACACGAAAGGTAATATTTTTATACCTACCCAATATCTGCCATTTCAAGGCTTTGCCGACGGGAATATAGACGCGTCTTCAGACGGAAAATTGCTTCCTAGTTTTAAGCTTTGTGTGTGCATGCCAAGTGGCAAACTCTTTAGCGTTCCGGTTCTTGATAAAAATACTAATTGCATTGTGAATGGCTTGGCTCCTCGTCAAAATCACCCCTGTAAAGAAGAGATGGATTAAATTAATTCTACTTTATAAATAATATCTAAGGTATTATCTTATGTTTTTAATATAGTTAACCTTTCTTTCAATATAATTTATTCATATTACGTGTGGTTTAATTAGTATTATTTGTGCAATATATCAATCTAAATTAATTATTTATATTTCAAAAGTTTTACATGATTATATATTTATATATTGGTTTTGTAACTTTCCTCTTAATAAACTTATATAAATTTTGTCAGATAACAAAGTTTAAATCATTTTTAATATTTTAATTTTACAAAACTCCTTCATATGAATTAAATTCGATTATTTTTTAATTATTCTATAAAAATGAAAAATTTTAAGTTCTTGGAGTGGCTATAGACGTTTTAAAATAATTAGGGATTACGTATAAATTTGATATATAGTTTGGATTGACGCGATATTTAGGGTGAGACAAATGCAGGAAAAGGATCAAGTAATGCAAAAGATTTTTCAAGTTTGTAGTCCTGAGGTTCTTCAAGTTTGTAGTCCTGAGGTTCTAAATAGTCCAAATCGTGTAGATGAATGGCTGATATCTTATCTTAACTCTGTTACTACCAGGTAGGAATACTTGTATTTAAAAATTTCTTAATATAAAATACTTTTTATATTTATTTAAATATTTAAGAATTTTTTTTACTATGTATACTGAAATATAAATGTATCTTGTATTTTAAAAATCCACAATTTATTTAATATTAATTTTGTGATCCGTGTTAGAGAAAGAAAAATTATGGCCTTCTCTGTTTCATCCTAATTTATTATAATAATATTCCAGTTCCTCGACTATTTTTTTTAGGATATTTTTATCAGAGTATCTGTAAAGCCGCAACATCCTATACATGTCATTTAACCCTGTGAAACCGAAGGTTTTTGGAAATATCTTCCAAACTCAATTAAAGGCACAAAGCAATCCATGCTCTAAAAATAATAAATTTAACGTTTTCCAATTTTATAATCATTTAAAAGTAATTAAATATAATTCTCCTTATTCTTAAATGTATTAATTTTTTCTTCCAAGTATTATAACATAAATACAACTATGTGTTAAAAAATGTATTTTAAATTTAAAAACAAAAAAAAGGTATTTAAATATAAATTGCGAATTAAAGGTTAGTGAGTTATAACAAAATAGGGAGATTAGAAATATTCAGTTTAGAAACTAAAAAATTCTGGAATCGGGAAATTTTTAAAATATTGTTCTCATTCCATTTCCCATTTTCTCATAAATACGGCACTTTTTAACCCGTTAGGTGATTACGCCAGGCCTTAAAGGAAGGGGATGCCAGAAAAATAATTTATAAATAGATTAACTATTTAAAAATTAGATTGCAAATCTTATATTGCTGATAATTTCAGCAGATAGTTTTAATTTCGTTGTTCGTTAAAATTATTATTTATATATTTATACTCTAAATTAAAACTTAATTTTTTAAAAAAGAGGTGTAATAAATTAAACAACTTTTAATTGAGGTTTAGTAAACATAAGTCTTAAAAAGTTTGTGCCAGCATTAGCGGTTTATTAAAGTACATTACTTATATAATTAACATGTGATTGATATACTAGTTATATTTTGTACTTTATAACATCCATATCAAGCCACTTTTTCATCTTTTAAATAGACGAAAACTAAGCTCAATTTTATTTATGCATTATCATCATATTGATTGGTAAGCTAGGCCTATTCAAAAACGAATCGAATATTTAATGCATCGAATAGTAAAATATTCGAATAAAATTATTTATTCATTTTGCACGTTTTCGTCTACAACCCGCCTTATATAAATACTGAGATATTCCTCGCATAATTGCGCCAGTTTTTAATCTTGTGAGGAAACAGGAAAAATCTTATTACCAATATAAAAAAAATGTTGACAAAATTTTATTACAAAATAATGGAGTATATTTGTTTTTGTTATAACTACAAAAATACAAATCGAAAATAATTCCTTATTTTTTATTCATTCGAAGAATAAAAACAATCGCTTTAATAATTTTTTTTTTAATTATTCGATTAGATTAGTCGAATATTCGATTGGAAAATTAAATTCTCTTAAAATACTTTTAAAAATAAAAAAATGTAAAAAAAACAAAATATGTTAAGTACTTATGAATAATTTAAATATTTATAGACAATTCTCAGTTCCGAACCTGGCGGAACGATTGAAAGCACTAACGATGAATAACACGTTATTTTTTAGTGTTTCAAACCAGCGTCTATATGACCTAATATGCAAACCCCCCCTCCTCACAAAAACCTACACCTACTCATATTTTGTATGCGTTATTAATTATAATGCCACTCCCTTTATACATTTTAAATTATCAATACTCTATTACCAACTAAAAAAAGTAAATGAAAAAGTGTTATTATTTAGAACACGAATAAATTAAAAACCCCCAATGCATCATTATAGTATATTATATGAGTTTGCTGATAGAATGTCTATTCTTTAAAATTATATTTAAAAAGATAGCAGAAAATTATCCATAAATGAGTTTTCTTTGAAAAATAATGACTATGATTGTATGCAATAAATAAGTCATTATTTAATATAATTGTATTATTATAATAGGCCTATATTAAAAATATTAAATAATATTTTACAGCAATATATTTTGTCCTATTTCACTTAAAAATTTAATAGAAAACTCCCCAATAAATTTAGCCTACCCCCTTAAATGCCAACTCCCTCCCCCCTAAAAAAAATTGGAAGCAAACTGTTCCTAACAACCCGCTCATGTAGACGCTTCTTCAAACCATCGTGTAGCCGAAGTTAAGGAAAAAAGTTTATAAGCAAAAACAAAAACTTTGGCTAACTTCACAAGTTAAACAAATACTGATGACATGCCAAAATAAGAACCATAAAAGCAATGTTTAGTGCTTAATTAATATATTTAAATTCCGTTATTAATTTAGTAAACCGCCTTAAAAAAAATAAAAATGATGACGTCACGATATAAGCGTGAATTGGCCGAACGATTGGCAGCACTAACGATGAAACTTATATCATTCTTCAGTGCTTCGTTAGTAGAGGTTGCTTCAATCAGTTTAGCAGCCACTATTAAAATAACAGTTATAGAAAAAAACAAAAATAAACAACAAAAGGTGGCTTGCCAAAACAAAAACTATAGTAGTATTTAACATCCGGTTTTAACCATTATTTAATTCTTAATTAGTAAATTTCAATTCATTTACTAATTTGGTAAATCGCCATATGAAAAAATAGTTATACGCTAATAAATGTTTTGAGGTAAATTTCTGGCCAGCAAAACTTGAAGCATCAAAGACAACATTTATATATATCATTCTTTAATGCTTAATTAGTAGATAGTAGCCCATGTTAAGTTATTAAAGAAATCAAAAAGATCTTGGCACACCTGAACAAAAATATAGCAAAGACAAAAATCTTGTTTTCGCCATTATAGTGCTTAATTATTAAATTTGAATTCCATTATAAAAATAATTTCTAAGCTAAATAAAAATTATGGCGTCACGATTTGCGTGAAGTTAGCCGAGGGATTGAAAGCATTAACGATGAATTTTTTATAATTCTTTTGAAAAAATTATCTACCATATTTGGGTACTATAAAATATTTTAGAAGCTTAGCAAAATCTTTTCAAATTTATTTTCCCCGAAAAAATTAAGTATTTAAATTTTTCTATCATAGTTTTTTAGTTATACATAAATCTCATTTTGATTAATATTATGCAAGAATGCAATGATTCTGATAGTTGTTAAAAAAAATACACATATTTTCAGATATGTAAAATTTTAAACACTTTTTTTTAAAACTTAGATTCAGTCAATCATAATGAGGCAAACAAGTAGCTAAAAATAAGGAAATCGCATTAAAGTACATCACCTCAGAGAAGTTTAATATTTATAATAGAAATCGAATCTCTTAATGAAACACGTTTACCATAAATTTTAACATTGATCTGTACTGTAGTATTTTTTAAATGTTTTCTCGGATCTATAATAAATTTAATAGTATTTTTCATAGGTCTGCAAATGGCAATTCAGACCCAGCTAAATCGGATTTTTTTGCCCGGTCCCACACTATTACAATTTTTTATTAAGGATACTGGCCCGGCTTTTAAAACCCAGAAATATATATTAAAATAATTAATAATGATGATTTAGGTTTCATGATTTTCTTATTAAAGCAATAAATACAAAATGGAAAAGGAAACCGTATTTATGAATGATCATAGTAGCAGGTTATTTAATCATTAAAATTTAAGAATAATAACACATTTTTACTTTAGAATTTTATTTCTATTCTCTATTAAGCGCTCAGGGCATCTCTTCTTTTTTTCACGCGCTCGGTCCTTTAATTTTTTTCAGACGCGGGTACCAAGCCAGTTGCAGATCTCTACTCCATAATATAGGCCTATCAAAAATTTATTCGAATTCACGAATAATCATTCAGGGCTTCGAATCAAATCCAAATCAGATCTGTGAACAATATTCAAACTTGAGAGGGCATTTTTTGAGAACCGAACCCGTTTTCAAACTCCTTATGAACCCGAGCCTATTTTTCAAAAAAAAGTAGAACTCGGTTTGGGTTCATACTAATTTTTAAATTTAATGAGGGGATGTTGAAAGATGAATATTCTCATTGCGCGATTGAATAAAATCTTTAATACTAATGAATAAAATATAGTATTTTAAATTATGCATATTATAAAGATTATCAATATTTATGACATTATAATTTATTTTGTTTAAAAGTCAGAAAGAAATATTAAATATACCCTTAAAAATAAACTTATTAATTTAGATAATTAAATATTTTAAGACATTTCTGAATTTTATTTTTACAGAACCCACCTTAAATGGAACCGGAATTCTGATTTGATCTGGGTTTGAGCCCTAACCAAACTTGGAAAAAATATTTCGAAGGTTTCGATGCCATGTAATAATTATATTTTAAATCATTTTTAAATATATTTTTTTATCAAATATTTTTTTTGGGCACTGTAATATTAATTTTCTTATATAGAGCTTATTGTTTAAAATTTTCTATAACGAAATAAAAAATTTATAAATAAATTGTAAGATTATGCTATCAATTAGAAAGAGAAAATATCAAAAGTTGATAAGTTAGAACTTTTTTTCCTTCCAAAATTGTGAATCCATATGTAGAGAAGCCAATTATTAAACTTAATATGAATCCGCTAAGCCTTGATAGAAATTGCACTTGGTGTGATTTTTTGTTTTGACAAAAATAGCCAGTTTTTTAACATATACTTTAAGGGCTCTCTTTTACACCCTGTGAGCGTCTATTTTTAGACACAACTGTTATCAAAAACCGTTTGTCTCTAAAAAGAAGAAACAATTAGGAAAGATTATGAATAATGCAATATAAAATTATTCGGTTCGCACTATAGTTGGGCAATGGCTAAATGTCGGCTAATTCGGATCAATCTTCAGACGCCTGTCGGAGAAAATCCGTTAACATTAAAGCGTTTTAATATATATTGTTTCCTTCAAATTTGAGCTGCTATCTTTTTAAGAAAAATCCCGAGACCAAAGTGAGAGTCTTCGGCTAAAAACTTGTTTCGCCGACTAAAAATTGGCTTAAATGGCTAAAAATATAATAATTATCCAACTATAGTTCGCATACAATTCGATTCAATACTTCCTGGTTTTTTATATTTAAATTATTTCAACTCATTTGAATAATATCATTGTAAAGACCTACTATTAAGTTATAACATGAAATTTAAATTATGTAGCTTAATTATATTTAGTAATATTTAAAATTAAATAAGTATATTTTTCTCTTATGGGCCCACTTGTTTGAAGTTGAAAATTTAAAAAATTAATTATATTATATAAAATTTTACCTAGTGAGTTATTTAAAATAATACTCGTAGAGTTCGAAATAATACTTTTCTCAAGTATGATACCTAACCAGGTAAAATTCGAGTATTTAATTATAAAATTATAAATTTTTAATCATGCCTTGTATTTTTGATATTTAGATCCGTCAAATAGAAGTTATATATATTTTATTAAATTACACTAAAATTTTATTTTCCAATATTAATATAGTCGCATTCGGTAATATATTATAATATTAATAATGTAAGATATTTCGGTTTCGCATTATAAAGATAACAATCTATTTAATATCCCCTACACCATTTACTCCTATCTTATCATCCTCGTCATCATCGTCGGTATCAAGTTCGGGGATCGGGTATCGTAAGATAGCAGCGATACCTGTTAGCCTATCCAATTGTTCCCCTGACACGTGAAGGCTAGAAAATAAATGAGTCTCGCCTCCACCCAACTTGACACGCTCAAATACCGCAATAGAGCGCGCACGAGTAGCGGCATTACGAAAAAGCGAATCACTTATCAAAAGGGAATCAACGGCATCAGCGTTAGCAACACGAATGACATGTTCTAGCCCGTAATGGGCACGATCTGGGTCTGTGTTAAGGACTACAGTGAACCGGGCCAATGCGCGTACTTCCCGAGCAGCCTTGGTATCAGCCGCTCGGGCGATGACAGCAGGGTCAGAAAGCACTTCTCGCAGAGAATGCCGATATCCAGTGGAGCAATGCACGAGCAAAAACTTAGATCGATTTTCAATAAGGAGGCGTGATGGGTCTGATGATAGGGGTGTCGTCAAGGAATTAAAATTATTGGGCGAAGCACTGTCGTTCATTGATGCATTGGATGGAGAAAACGAGGTGGTAGTAGAAGACGAGGACTGGGAGGAAGCCGAAAGAGAAGCGGATAGTGATGGGCTCATTAAATGCTCGAAGAAACGGTCTTTAACGAATCCAGGACTAGCCAACAACACGCATTTGACCACTTCAAAATCGATGTGTCTTAAAAGAGCGCGGGCTAATGAATCATAAAAGCGAGACAAGGCTCTTTCTCGTTGAGAACCAGAACCCTCACGTTTCTTAGGAATGTTTTGCTCGACGCGGCAACGCACGAGGGTCATATGTGAAGTTACGAGGCATATGTGAGCAAGTCCTTCTTGCAAGACGACCGCAGCAAGATCTGCATGCTTTACCGGGTCACATGCCAATTCCACACGTTCTAGACTTACGCTGTCCCATTCGTCTTTGCCTATACCATGGAAAATGGTTATATATATAAATTATTAAGATATTATTAATTATTCTAATTGCTTTCCAAATAATTTGGCAAATTCGAAAAGTTAAGAGTATAATGTTCATTCTATTTTATAATACTATCCTGCACTATAAAGCACGAAATTATAATTTTATTTTGATTCAAAAAAATTAAGGCGCTTTTTGAATATTTTCATTTATAAACTTTTTACGCGCTGTATAAACCAGGGACCCAAACCGAAACGAATATCGGTTCGGTTCGGGTTCATCGGATAAAAATAACGGTTCAAGTTCAGGTTCGGTTTGTAAAAAATTAAATTATCGGTTCGGTTCGAACCTCTAAGAACCGGTTTGAACACTTTTGTATCCAAACCTACATTCGAATTATGTATAGGGAAATTTTTCTTTTTATTTTATCATTAATTTAAAAACCACATGTATAAAACCTTCATTTTTATTAATTGCACATTATAAAATAATATTTAATTTATAAATATAAAAATAAGATAAGAATATATATCAATGATTAATTTTAATATGAACAATATTTTATTTTTTTTACTTAAATTTTTTTTATTAAGCCGCACAATTAATATATTTTCAAAATTCGTATCTCTCAAATTACACTATAAGGAGATAGTATAAATTTAATTGTTAAAAAGCATCTTTCCACACTGACGGGTAGCCGACACTGCCAATGTGATATCAGATTTGATGTGTCATTTATAATAATATTTTGGATTTTATTTTTCTCTAAGCATTATAATTTACAAGCTTAAAATATTTTAAAAAAATGTTGTAAAATGACAATATACTAAAGTTTATAAAAATTATGACCGACACTTATCAATCAAATGTGATTGATGATAATCTTTAAAATAATTTGAATGTAATTGAAATTTTTTCAATATACTAATAATAACTTACATATTATTTTATGAGCATAAAATCATGAGGCTCGAACCGGTTCAGAGACATTATAGCGGTTCGGCTAGCATTTTTTAGCGGTTTAGGTTCGGTTCAGGTTTGATAAAAAATACGGGTTTTTAGCGGTTTAACGGTTCGGTTTGGATCCCTGGTATAAACTTGATATTTCAATCTTTCTCAATTAAAAAAATTCCACACTAAGTGGGCACAATCTAAATATGATACCACCAATAAAATTGAGTTAGGACAATTTCAATTTACATAGATAATAAAATCTTTTCAAAAGTAAACCTTATGTAAATTATGATATATGCCTATCACATAAATCTATGTCATTCAAGTATAAATTTACATTAAAAAAATATGTTTTTATACTCTAAAAATAACTAAATTTAATTTACTAATTTTACGACTAGATTTTTAATATCTTAGATAACATAAATATTATATAAAACGAATTCCTAAACCTTATATGGATATATTTATAGGGAATTTTATCTTATTTATTAATTTTGTAATTTTAATATCTTAAAAAACGGGGATTTTTTTTTCGGGGAATTATTTTCCTAGATTCGAGTTTAATATTATAAGAGTAAGTTTTAGTATTTTCTATTTCATCATTTATTAAAATGGTGGACTAGGGGCATGCAGGATAGAAGGGTAAGCGGAAAAAATATATCCAATAATAATTCTTAAATAAAAATTCTCTGGGAATTGATTTTATCAAAATTTTAAAATATACTATTTGAGGATTTTTATTCCATCGATATATTTATAGGGAATTTTTTTCCTATTTTATTATTGTAATTTTTAATATCTTAAAAAACGGGGATTTTTTTTCGAGGAATTATTTTCCTAGATTTGAATAGAGGCACGTAGATGCATCAATGTCAACTATTATGTCAATAAAATCATTATTTCTAATCCACTCCCTGAGCTAAAAAAAAAGAATACCCCCATCCAAAAGAAGCAATTATTATAAATTTCAAAAATAATAAGTAATATAATTTTTATTTCTGTAAAAAAATATTATAAACTTTTAAAATTGGAAGCAAAGAAATTTGAAATATTTTTCTTAAATTAGCCATATCAACAAAGTGAAGGAAAAGAAGCTATATTTTCGTCGATATCTAATTGTCGAAATAATTTTGTACCATTGATAAAATGGTTAAGTTATAAGAAATGGATCTTCATAGTACTCCGCTTCTATTAATTAGTTTTATTTTGCTTATGACACTTTCGGCAATGCATGAGGTTGTATTAGCTTATAAATATCTTTATAATATTGAAAAATTAGGGAAAGCAGAAAAATTAGAAAGTAAACCATAAGGTAAAATAAAAGAATAGCTTTTCCCGTCAATCACAACAAGTCTCAGAATAATCAACAGAAAAAGGTAAATAATTTCAATAAAATAAATTTACAATTTTCAGACTCTAAAAAGTCTTCTGATTATTTAACTTCCAGGTCATCTGCAACAATTACATTCCCCTTTTTAGCCATCATATAAATATTTCGAAAGTTAGACATTTCGTCGAAAACTTGACTCGAATTCAATTGGTAAAACTCAGAGATATTTTCAATATTATCTTCAACAAATGTCTTTTCAATTATTTCCTTTGGTGTAAAAAACGAGATTCGATTTAAATATTATCCGTCATTAAATTTCAGATTAAACTGCATTATCAAATCGATTACAGCATAAAACATGTTTTAAAGCATAGATAAAATATTATATTTAATAATAAGTATATAAACCCTTCCTTTTTGAATTCATATGTTTGAAGCCAAGAACTTTCAAAATCAAAAGATAAATTTCACTGTTTAATAAAATCTTGAGCCATAGAAAAATATTTAACGTGCTATGGCATTAGCTAAAAATGTAAGGACAATAACTTAAATTATACTTCTCAACTTAATCACACAATCGTTTGCCAATTAAATTTGATTCATTGCAAATCCTATATCACAAGTCAAGTTTGTTATCAATAATATTTTATCCAAAACACAAAGTGAAAAAATAAAATTATTATTTTTTATTCTAAAAATTATAGCAATTGTCATGGTAGAAGTGGTAGGATCTTCAGAAACCTTTAAATTTGTCAAAGCTGCCCTCAAGGCATCCTAAATAATAATAAAAAATTCAATAGCTCTATGATAACCAGCTTCTAAATATATAAAATTAACATTTAAATCTAAACAAATAAGATAATATTACCGAGCGGTATTCTTGATGTGTAAAAATTGTTGCGTTTTGTCAGTACATCACTCAGACATTTTCTACGTATCTTTTATATCCATTGAAATACATTACGAAATTTCTTAGTTCCCTTGCAGGGGCTTGGTTACGAAAATCAAATAACCAAGACATCTTCTTATTATTCTTATGATTGGGAGTTTATTATTAACACATTCTTCCGGGGATATCAGATATTTTAATATGGAATTTTTGTTATGGGCAAGTCTTCCATAATCAGCCAACATATGTGTCAAAGAAGATTCATGTACAATAATATCGCGATTGATATTCTGCCATTATCTAAGCCTTCACGATAAATGAAATTAAAATTTTTTAAAAAAAGTTTAATATTTTTTTGTAAAAATTTATAAAAGAAATTTCAAAAAGTTTCCCCATCGTCATGGAGGTATAACCGTTGCTTCGTACCCCCCCCCCCTATTGTAGGTGCAACTGGAAGAAACGTCCTGAATTAAGGTATGATGCAAATATATAGCTTACTCAAATATAAAGTAAGAACTTTAATATCATTTAATATTTCGGTATTTATTCGATCAAAATCTAATCTACTTAAAATCTCTAGAACATTTGATAAGATATAAGTAAATATAAAGAAGAAAATATGTTAACAACCAGAAAAAAAATCCCAGATGCAAGTGAAGAGACATTGGTATAAAAAGTTACAAATACAAATTGTCTGTTAAAAGGGTAAAAATTTATTTTATCTTAAAAATTTCACTTTTTTGATTTTAGTATTAAATTTTATATTTCATTAATGGTAATTTATCTAACAAATAACAATAGGTTCTAAATTAGTTTATTAGTCTTATAAAAAAAATATTAGTATCATTTTATTTATTATTTTGAATTTTTAAATAGCAAAATTTCAATAGCCAAAATAAAATCTCTGAAATATAAATTTCTTATATTGCAAGTTATTTTTATTAAAATTTACAATATATTTCAATAAATCATATATATATAGCTTATACAAAAATATTTAAGATAAAAAGGTTAGAATGATGACTTATGAAAACATCTTGTATTTTTTTTAAATAAAAGTTTACTATTATTTCTTTTTTTTATTATTAAAACAAATTATTTCGATATTATATAAAGTAATAAAAATAATCGTAAACTATGCATAAAATAATATAAATAAATAAAATTTAAAAACAATATCAAAAATATTTTTTTAGAAAACCACATTAAAAAAAGAAGTTAAAAATAGTCGTTCTTTTTTGATGATGGTCAGGAATCTTTAAATTTAAAATTATAGCGCAAAATTTGCTAATTTTTGTTTGATAAAAAGGCCCTCGAAATTGTTTTTTAGAGATCTATGGCTGATTCGTTTACTATGGATTAAGCCGTTTGTCGATACCACGACTAGTATTAGGGCTGTGCTGATATTAAATATAGAATCGGCATGATATTTAGCGTTTCCAAAATAGTATCAGATCAATATTTTTTTAAACACTGATCTGATATTTTTATTGTCATTGGTTATTTTATATAATTTTTAATTAATTAATGAAAGGAAAAAATACAATTTTTTTATTGTAATGTTTAAATAAATAGTTAAAAATTTTACACTATTTTTTGATATATTATCTGCAACAAAAAGATTTTAAAATATCTAACGAGTCGCATTCATCTAGTGTTATTAAACGGCTCAATTTAGTCAATTTTTTAAAACGTTTAACTTAAGATTTTGGCCAATTGATTGTAAATTAGGCAAGTTTATTAAGTTTGCCCACATGTGACAGAAATAATTAGGCTTCTATTTCCAAAATTTAGGGGCTAGGATAATAGCAGGCTAAAATCTTGATTTCGT